AATGCTACCCGATCGAACATTCATAAAGACATCAGTGTTCGAAATCATTGACCGGCCGAAGGATTGGGAATGGGAGAGTCTGGGTTTTAAAAAGTTGAATACTGTTCTTGGTTGAACTACTTAAACCAAAGTCGATTATAGTTTCTGCATACGCTTCGGAAAACCATTACTCCCCGCTCCATAAAATGATGCTCCTTGTATTGAATACTACTTCTGGTATTAAAACCACATTCATTCCCTTCATGCGACCTTGATATAAGATATATAATCTTACAGATCTCACACCATCGCAGCAAGCACACTCCTGATAGGTTACTTTTCCGGCGAGTCCCTGTCTCACAAACCATACTTATGTATGGCGAAAAAGAATGATGTTTCATATTCAATAATACTTCGTATCCTTGAGAGTTCTACTCTAATGAGCAAATTGAGATGTAAGAGACCCCTTCGCCTGTGCGAATATAACCCCAACGGAGCTTCGTTCCGCCCATCTTAGTATCACTCGTAGTGGGCAGTGATGTTCGCGCAAGGATGCGGGAACTAAGGGCCATATCTTCTTCCACTCTGCAATCAATAGCTCGATTTCTCCTTCGGACGGCCGAACTTGCATCATAAGAGAGGCTATCTAGCAATGTCTTTACCCCTTCTCTTCCAGCGATCTTCCGCATCAGCCCTAGCTGGTTTCCTCTTCCGTCAGCTGCGATTGATGAGTACGTATGCATCAAGTGAACACTGGAATAGGGCTTGGTTGGCGGCGGAGTCGATGCATCCTGGGGTTGAAGTTGAACCCTTCAACATCACAGCGATCAGGAGGGAATTCGTGCTGGGTCCCTCTCAGGGAAGGTTTGAGGATGCGAAAAAGAGGCAAATTGTGAACATCTTGGCATAGAATTTCCAACGTACGTAGAATGCGAGGGATAGTATCTAATGCGAGTTGAGAGAATTGTTAAGTGACACAGAGCGATTAAAGCATTTTGCTGACTCACACGCGTTAAATCCCTCCAGTCTCGATGACCATCTGTCCGAGCCGTTTGGTCCTTGATAAGATCATATCCTTCAAATGGACGATGGTCCAAGACGTTGAGTATTTAGCCTGACCTAAGTAAACCGATCCTATGTTGAGCATGGTTGTCGGAGTAGTAAGTGCTATTATTTCTTCTTCCATCCGCGGTCAAGAGCTCGCTTTCTCCTGTCATCGACATCGTAAGAAAGGCCATTTAACAGCCTCTCCACCCCTTCTCTTCCACACCGGTTCCGCCGCGCACTAGTTCCTGATTTTGGGACCCTCTTCCCTGAGGCTCGTGAAATCCCGCCTTGAATGGAGCGTCGCCCGCAAATAATGAGTATTCCTCAAGTAGTCGCCTAAATAGAGCTAACGAAGACGTCGGTACCGCCAGTTCCATGCTGGTTTGGCGGTGGAGTGGTCGTGTCCTAGGCTGAGCCAACACATTGTTGTGGCTGCGCATGGATGAAGCTGAGTCCCTCTCGTTCAGCGAGAGAAGGTTTAGAGCCGCGAAAAGAGGGATGTTGTGCGAAATTCCGAGGCAGGGTCCGGGACAATTCATCGTCTTGGGCTCCCATACCGTGGTGGACGAGGGTGCACTATCTCGTCGAGAGTGTCCTAGCAGGGATAAAGCAAGGTGCACCGAAGACGGCGCGTCTCTCTGATTGTCTGAAGATGAGAAGGATTTCAACTCTTCTGTCGTTGGATATTTATACGCGGATTGCTGTCATTCGACGACGGATCAAGGACGTAAGATATGGAGTAGGTCTCCGTCCTTTCCTCTGCTGGTATGCTCCTGCTTGCTCTGTGAATATGCCTGTTGAACCATTTTTAGGTCGAGCCTTCACGAAGAAAGGTGCTCACGAACGTTCCCTGAATCATCACAAGGGAAGACCGACTCTCTCAGTCTATCCTTCTCGACTTCCATCAGGACGGTGGTGCGTCTTCTGGGTTTCGATGTTTCTGTTGCAGGTGACGATGAGGAGGAGGGCGCGTTTATGGTAGTGTCGGCAGATAGAACTTGAAGAAGGCGGTGTATACGCAGGAGTGTAGAGCATGGATGACCGGGGGTACCCAAAGAGAATCTCGCCTTCCGCAGGCCTCGTCGGGAATTGATACCTTGCGGCAGCCCTGAACAGAGTTTGTCACCCCAAATCGAGGACCACGAAAGATTGGGAAAACGAGGTCAACTTGAGGTGGAACGGGCTACACAAGGGTTAACACTGGTCAAAAACTTGAGAAAGTATAATTCACCTGAATAAAATAGCGTGCCTTCCTTGGTCTTGCGTCCTGTTACCTGATGTCGTTGGTTTGTTTGCAGGAAAGCGATATGCCATCTCCGTGCAAAGCGCGTGACGTCAATATCGAAATTGAATGTTGAGGCACGGGAGGTGTGAGCGAGCGGAGGATCGACTTGGCATCATCCCAGCCAGGAAGAAAAGCATGAAGATACGATTCCCTTTCAAGCTTCAAATTCATTCACATTGTTCCTCACAATTTGATACCCAACTGTCTCAAAAGGGGGCGTTCTTACCATGCATTAGTCTTAATTTGATTTGTTCCTAGAGAAGAAAGCACGTTAAAGCTGAAAACTGGTGGGATGTCGGTATTAATCGTACCATGTCAGTATATGCCCATGGGCCTGCCAAATTTATGAGGAATTTCGCTTCGCCTGTTACACCCGACAGTCCCGTCAAACTGTGTCCTGATGTTGGCTCGTACGACAGTCATGGTCACAAATGGTGTTGATGACTAAATATGGAACGACAATTTTCACGCTTATCCGTCGGGCCGTGTTTCCTGATCCTGACGATGATCATCGGCGAGCCGTTACAGTGGCCTGATATCGTCGCGGGAAACTGCTTGCCAGTGAAAACCCGAGGCTCAGGTTTATTCATCATCGACAACCTCTGATGGTAGCACTATTTTCAGTCCTACGAGTAGCTATCGACGCTCTACGAGAAGTCGTCTCTTCGTATCGCCGCGTCTCCAAACGGATAAAGCAATCTCCTGGACTCCCAGTTCCCAATCCCACTACTCCGTTCTGGTCGATCCCGGCGTCGCCCATCCAAAAAGAAGGCTCGTCTGCATCTCTGCCAGCATGCGCGGACGTTGTGATTATCGGGTCTGGGATAACAGGCACGTCGTTTGCGCGTACGCTGCTTGATACGGACGGGTCTTTGGAAGTTGTGATGCTTGAAGCAAGAGATGCGTGCTCTGGTGCCACAGCACGGAATGGAGGACACATCACGCCGCCGCTGTACCACGATTACCTCGACTTGAAGAAGAAACACGGCGCAAAGGCTGCGAAGCAGATTATCCAGTTCCGGCTCTCGCACCTTGACGAACTGATAAGCGTTGCAGAGGAGGAGGGCTTGACGGAAGAGAGCCAGTGTCGCAAGGTGGATACTTATGATGTCTATTTTGACAAAGACGTATTTGAAGGCGCGAGGGAGAAGCTAGAACGCTATCTGGAGGAGCTGCCGAACGAGAAGGGTGGCTGGGGTACAACAGAGGGACCGGCGGGGATGCAGCTTGCGGACGGGGTGTGCGGGGTCATCTCGACGACGGGCGGGGCGGTGCATCCGTATCGGCTCGTCACGGGGATCCTGTCAAGGCTACTCAAGACGTACTCTTCGTTCCGGCTATACACGCACACTCCCTGTCTTTCTATCCACGACAACATCGTCCACACGCTCCGCGGCGACATCCGCGCCAAACACATCGTTCACGCTACTAATGGATGGACGTCCCACCTCCTCGCGCCAATGCGGGAAAAGATCGTTCCCGTGCGAGGCCATATGACGGCACAGCGCGCTGGAACTGGCTTGGACGATGGATGGCTCGGAACGCGCTCTTTTGTTTTATACCCAAGCGCGTCCGAGGATCGATGGGACTATCTCACCCAGCAGCCGCTCAGCCCTGTGACACTTGGAGAGAAACCTCACGCAGAGTTTATGTTTGGCGGTGGTATCGAGATGGGCACCCAATCCTTCTTTGACGCTGTCGGATGTGCCGACGACAGCCAAGTCGAATTTCGAGTGTCTGCATACCTTGGTGGAGCACTGGCGGCGTATTTCGGGAAATGGTGGGGAGGCGAGTCGGCCGATGTGGATGATGATCTCTTTGAGAGAGGGCGCGTGAAGAAGGCGTGGTCTGGTGTTCTGGGTATCTCCGCGGATGGACTGCCGTGGGTTGGTAGCCTTCCTTCAAAGGTGTCTGGCAGGTCAGAAGGACGAGAGTGGATTGCGGCGGGTTACTCGGGCGAGGGAATGGTCCATGCCTGGATGAGCGGAAAGGCTTTGGCGTACATGGTACTGGGGAAAGATGTTGATTGGCTCCCTTCTCCATTTCGCGTCACAGAAAAAAGGTGGAAAAAGGCAAACATCGCATCTCTGCTATAACCATACTGCTTGTAAGTATACCAAAAATTATGCTTCGGAAATATCCGAACATTTCTTCCCTCTTTATTTATTCCTCTGACGCTGGATTCAAAACCTCAGCACACGATTCAATTCTTCGCTCAAAGAGAATGAGAAACCGCGTTTGGCCGTCCAGTCCTCATTTAGTGACTCACTTGCACATGACTACCAAATACAACGCAGCTGCACCATATGGGACGAAGTCAATCTCGGGAAATCTGAATTACCCTCCTCACTCTCAGATGAATCAGGAGTCGTCTTCTTGTGTCCATGCACAGAGATTCGTTTTGTGGTAACGCGCGCGCGTTGAGAGATCGTCATCAAAATACTTATTCCACACAAGCCTCACCGTCTTCCGTGGGCCTATCTTGACAATCGCGGATCTTGTCGTGTGAGAGGGACGCAAGGATGAATTGTTGGAATGTACTGTGGGTCACGTCGATCAATCCTTGGGAATGAAGAGGACTAGGTCAAGATAGACCATGGCCCGACAGCCATGCTCCACACTGCATCTCCGTAGTCAAGATCCAATCAGACTGCACCCAATAGCCAAAGACGAGTCCGCATTCCTTTGCGGCACAATGGATCAATGGTACATCGTCTCCAACTTATTTCAAGACCACAAACCAACGTTATACTGTAGGAGAAAATCACGGTTCGAATCCATGTTGTGGCACCGGTGCTTTCTGAGAGCGATTCTTTTGTCCCTTCACAACTAAAAGAAACCTACACGGCGATGGGCATTGAATAATACCAAATAACAAGGAATGTTCGTCGAGGTGGTCGTAGCTACACATAACCAGTGCTTCATATATTTCTCTTGCAGGTTATACGAAAAATTCATGTCGGAAATATCCGTGCAGTCCTTCCCTCTTACTATCACTCTGGATTCGAGACACTGGCGCGCTATTTGATCAATTATTCGCTGTTCCTGCCGCTGGACAGTTTTCCTGCACAACATGGCGAATGCTCTCTTATCCTCCTTCGAATACCCCAACGCACGCTTGATGGATGGACAAAGTCGAAGAGAATATGTTTCGCCATCCGGTTCTCGTTTTGTGAACGGGCGAGGATAATACTATATAAATTCGAGTCGTCGTGACGTCAAACAACGAAGAGGACCCGTACGATGTCTGCCGCCACCTGTGCTAGGGAAAGATAGACTCGGAGGAACACGAAAAATTACGTGTCGGAAATATCTGCCGTCGTTCCCTCTTACCATCACGAACATTTGAGTGCTATTTGATCAATTCTTCGCTGTTCCCTGCCATGTTGGATGATTCTCCTGCTTACTTCGTCCTGGATTCAAGACCTCGATACACTGTTCAATTCTTCGCTGTCATAGATACTGCGCATGCTGGGCGATTATACGATGGTATAAATAAAGAGATCATCTCCAAGGTCAATGGTGCCGTCTTTTGACTGTCTATTACCAGAGCATGGCAGACTCAATGTCAAGCTATGTCACGTCAATTCGCACTTTGCCTCTCCCCATGCACTCGCATCAAGTCGATAGCCGGTAATTCGTATTATCGCGCGTAGCCCTTAACGATGCCACGGCCGGAGACTGGGCGAATTGATGCACTATCTCTCTTGCGAGACGAACATTTGCCACTAGTTGGACTGACTCGAGTAAATGTGCCTATCCTGTCACTGAGATCGTGTAACCGATGCCGTTTACTTTGCCAGTCTCGACTCTCGAGTACAGCCATCATTTCAAAGTACATATGATTATAAGGCATCCATGAGCTCTGGATCGTTGGTATCATGGTGGGGAGGTGCACACTTCAAGCACCACAGACACGCTGATTGTCTAATGATTTAGTTATGAGCTCGATCACGTACAGGGCATGTTTGAGAAGAATTTATGTGTACAACGTCATTTATCAAAGGGGAACTATATCAGACTATATACAGATCAGCATGCGAACCATCAGTGCATTAGTAGTAAATACAAGTCAACGTCGAATTTTGAGTGCCAGTTTTGTACGAGTACCTGCGGGTGAGCGTTCAGTTACAATTCCTTTGTGAGTGAGGCGTAGGTCATCCGATAAATTCAAGGATGTCCTGAAAGGGAGAGACGAAACCAGGCCGATGGCCTCTTCAACTAGTTTCTTGAGTTCCTTGCTGTCGCAACGCTCGTGGAACATGGAACAAGGACCGAGTTGCTGTTGTAGTTTGACCGCAGCCTTGTGTGCCTTGCTGTTGAACAAGTGAGGAGTTGTATCAGTTATCGTCAGTAGAAGGAGTGGTAGTGCGTACGTGGTCTGTATTAATTGGTCGTCGAGTACATCGTACTCGCTATGACTACACGCTTTAAGCTTGTCTTGCGTCTCCTTCCTCTGGCTCAGTGTATCGATACGAACTGTCTCAAGACAGACTAAAATGTGCGGCAGTAGTCCCAGAAACAAGTAAAGATATCGCCCGGGATTGTCACCGAGCCGGGATATTTCTTTGGTGCACGAGGCATAAATTTCAGCGTGCAGGGCCGCTTTTCCTCTCTTAGCAGCAACTCGACGACGACGGCGGAGGATTTTCCTGTATACTCGCTGGATTAGAGACGCAGCGGCAATCTCCTTTTCCGTGGGTTCCCGGGCTGTCATATCTCGTATTGGAAAGACATCGACGATGCCTTTCATTTCATCGACAAATTCTTCTTCCCAACGAACAGTCTCCTCTTCTGAAAGCCATGGATAAGTCCCAGACGTCGCAGCCAGAGGATCAGGTAGGATGGAGGAACCACTGCGGCGGATGTACATGGGCGGAGTGCGTGCATTGAGATATGCCACATTTCCAAGATAATCCGCTTGGCTTTGGTCGAAAATGAGGGCCAAAGTAGTCGCCCGCATCACGACCATTCGGTAAGTCGTATTGGGATAAAACGCCCGTCTGTAGGTAAGCGTTCGCACCCAATCTTTGACGACGTTCACTGCTCTGGCAGCTTCCGGGATTGTGGAAAGATCAAGATCGGAGATGGAACCGAATACATGGTAGAGCGGATGAACAGCCTCGTAAAGACGGTCAAGCCAGAAGCTATACCAAAAAAAAACATGAACTGGTGTCATTAGATAATTATAGGACAACGTACTGGCTGAAGTTCTCCCCAGTGAGTGACTGCAAAATCAAGATTTGTTGCAAGTGCAAGCGGACGCGCATGTTATAGTACTCAGCATCTACCACAGAAGCTGATACATGAGCTCCTGGACAGTCAGGTCGTCTACAAAATCCAAGTACGGCGAAAACCTGGCAAGGCCGAAAAGCCTCAGTGCCTCTCGCACATTCATCATTCTGAGTGTATATCCTCTGCTGGAGACGCAATCTAAGAAAACGCTGGAATATGCCACGCAGTTCTGGCGCTGACAGAGTGAAGCCAGAATCACTGGCCTCGCTCTTGGGTTGAAAACGTTGGACTTGAAGAGCTGTCGTGTGTAACCACGTGTTTCGGGGCACAAGAAACCCGTTCTCGGCGGTGCGTTGGAAACTGAACAATGTAGCAGTTGACATGTCTTGGCATGGGTCTATTCGGTATGCGGTAGTGGAGAGTAGGTTCACGTAGATATGGAACAGGCTGAGCTCCTCAACGGCGTCAACGAGGTCCATATTCTGGATTCGAAAAGCCCGAGAAAAGTGTTGATCGAGGCATAGTAGAGCGGCGGAACTATGGCCCATCTTGTAAAATTCCAACGCCAGTTCACGCAGTCGAGATGCCTGATCCTGCAAAATGGCAGTAAACATGGACAGCTGGGAATGCACTTCTGTAAGCTGTGATATGAGGGCATCCAATTGAAACGTACCTCGGCAGCTTTTCTCTGCCCCATGAAAGTCGTATCAAGTCGCGAAGCAAAGCGCATCAACCGCAACACGACGGGATCTGAGCATATAGCATGAGAGTCCACACCAAAGGATATCCTACGCCAAAGCTCTTCGAGGATACATTCTTCAGCACGGGGCAAAGCATCTTTGTTGTCTGTTTCGCGAAGGAATAGCTCGATGGCTGCTTCTCTGCGACCCATGGAATAATGCAGTTCAGCAGCTTCACTGAATCGCCCCATTGTTTCCAGAAGGACCGCACGAGCATTGTCAAGAGCTCTTTCTTCCAGATACTCCAATTCTTCTTCGAGTGAGTCAAATAGTTGGTGCGCCTTTCTGTGGGAAGAATGAGAATGACCAGTCTTGCATGCGTCAAAGGGGGACTTACTTCATTTGGCGCTTAGAGAAGTATGTTAGTCTGGCAAGTTTGATGACATTGTCGACGACCTTCGATGACATTTCGTCTTCGTGATCCTTCACGATCGCCACTGCTTCATCAAATTTTCCGAGATCTCTGTACAGTTCTGCAGCACGGGTGTACTCCTGGGCCCGGAAAAACATTTGGGCAGCTTGATACTTCTGGTCAGCTTGTTCGAAGCAATCGCCGCTGATCCTGAAATAGGTCAAGGAATCTTTTGAGTTCGAGGTGGTGTTAGCACATTCTGCGAATGAGAAGGCTGCCTCCGTGAAAAAAGAACTCCGTTCGAGCACTTTTGATTTCGACGAGCCGACGACTTTTCGAGCCTTTGCCCGCAAATCATATGCACCTGCAATGGATGCCAGAATAGGAAGGTTGGCCCTGATATAGCAGTGCTTGGCATGCGAAAATTGCTTCCGGTAGAAAAGCCCACGTCCCTCTGCAGCCCATTCTTCTGGCGTCAATGAAGATGCAAGCCGAGGAGCATTAGATCCCAGAGTATAATTTTGGATCAAATCTTTGCTCGTCCAAAAGGTCTTGATTGTTTACGGTGAGAATGCTGTTTGGACAGGATAATGCCAACTTACTCTCATCGGTTCTCCCGCCTCGGATCCATCTACGATCCAAATGTTTTCACGCGCTCTGGTAATTGCAACGTAGAGTGATTTTAGCTACAGTGGTATCATTCCTTTGATGCTAAGTGGTGCCGTGCTATTTCACACTCACCTCGTTACAAATGCTGGCATGACGAATATGATCGAATTGAGGAGGAGGATTCCTAGGGTCCTGTTTGCTCTCCTCGACGGCGTTCAGCACCACACGCCATTGTGCGAGACCAGCCAGTGAATCGGCAAAGAAGTTATAAAGCAGGACCTGAAGGGATGCAATATCGCACTGGTGAATAAAAAAAACTTGTAAAAGAGCATCTAACCAACGTTGTTGAATTTAAGCCCCTTGCTTTCGTATATGGTACTATAATACTGGCCATCAGTTGCTTGGTCGACCTAAAGAGAAAGACGCTCGAACAGGACAAGGCTAACTTCACCAACTTGCTGTCGGAGTCTCTCTCTTGCCACTTCATTCCTGACGATGATGCCTATGCACGTAAATTCTGAGTCAGCTAGCTTTGATGTAGATAACAGAAGACTAACATTGCTGGGCACCGAACTCAATAGGTTTACCGCAGTCACCAAAGATAAACCGCTTCAACTGAGCATGATCTTTGTTGTTAAAGAAGACAGGCTTGACCCCATCTACAATGCCCATCTCTGGAGAAAGACGATCAATGGAATCCTCCCAAAACATCGTGATAAGGTCAATGATGGAATGCGCGCAATCAACAATGCCTGCATGGGACCTATAGTTGACAGTAAGTTGAAACGTCTCAGGTGGCTGCTGAGTTGCAAGACTAGGCTTCCTCCGATACTGGTCCTACACGCCTGATTAGA